GCTTCGGGATCGTAACCCAGTTTCTCGATACGCTCAGCCTCTTCCTTGGCCTTTCTCTCCGCCTCGTCGAAATCGATCATGTCCGCACCGCTGACAATCTTCTTGGCCCCAAGCTTGGGGGCCTTTTTGGCGCCCAACACACTGCCCTTCTTAGCAGTCGCGGTCGAGGAGGTCTTGCGAACAGCGGCACTGGCCCTAATAGCGGCCGGGGCAGGAGAGGCAGCAGGGCTGTCCTTATCGGAGGCGGAAAGCGGGGATTTGGAGCGCGAGCCGTTGGCACCCGAGTTCAGGAAGGGCGATGCGGTGCGACTCACGACGGGAGGGGTACCCGTGCGGGAAGGAGGGTTGCTGGGCCGCTTGATGGACGGCTTGTCCCAGGAGGAGAAGAAATCATCATCAGCGTCACCAGCCGGGGTGCTGGAGCCGTTGGACGAGGTGCCGACGGGGATATCGGTGATCACCACTTCTTCGGGATACCTGATGAGGGAGCGTACTATTAGACCCCATACTGTACAAGTTTCAACAGGCGAGTGCATGCAAGAAACTCACTGTTGCGCATCCTGAGCGGCCCGTCTCTTCAGCTCCTCCTTATATTTGACGGCGGCATTGCATGTGTACTTGACCTTCGTGTCCTTGCTGGCCAGAGCGGCAGACCCTCCATGCGATTGGAAATACTTAGTGGCAGACTCGTTTCCACCGACTTTCATCATCCGGAGCTGCTCCCACTGCCATTCTATGCGCCAGTCGTTAGCATCACGATAGGATTGTTGGTCAGGAGTTGCGTACGGTCGAGGTTCGTGGAGCGAACAAAGGAGATGTGGACACCCAGGTTACGGTGATTGGCCGAGCAGTCCAGGCACAGGTAGATACCGAACGGCACAGAGGACCATGTTGGGTTCTTAGAGCCACAATCGAAGCAGATCTGTGCGGAATCGAGTCAGTCCTGAGGTCAGTTGCTAGGCGGGGAGGGGTACGGCGCACCTTGTTTGCGGGTTTGAGCTTGAGCTTCTCAAAGATCTTTTGAGACTCCGCCTTGGAGGCAGACATGATGGCTGGTGTTGAAAAGAAGGAGACGACGACTCAGAATAGGAGACAGAATCCGAGTAGATGTTGAAGACAAAGGGAGGGGAAGAGGGGAGATCGGTCGGAGATGAGGGAGAACGACAGGATCCAAAAAGCAGCCCGGGAGGAGCGAGCGAACGTGGTCGGATTGGGATTGAGTGTACCATCCCCGTATTTTTCACTTTAAGCTAGTGGCACTTGCTGCAACAACACACCTTGCTCATTGTGGCAAACATAGGAGACATACAAACAAACAAGCGCGAGTTTCGAAGAAAAGAAAATCACTGGCTCAGCTAACAGCAATCCAATTGAGTCCTACATGTCTTCTCAACTAGTAAGTTGACAGTAGTCCCTCATAGTATTCATATCTTGACGTAGCTACTACCTACAGGACATTCCTCCTGCTCAGGGCGGGAAACGTATTGCAAATACGAGAGTTTTGTATGCAACGGCGGCGGCTGAAACCAGGCCAGGGCCCTTTCGCACGTGACCCACTCCGATTCCGCACCCCCACACGCTTCTTTCAAAGCAAGTTCGGTCTTTACCGTCGCCGAATGAGATCCATCCGTCCATGGCTTGCTTCATTTCTGCCCGGCGGGAACAGTAAAGATTGCGCAGAACCTCGCAACTTGTGCTTCGTCTGCCCATGTTCACCAACTCTCAACCACAACAGCCACCCTTCGTTCCATGAGGCCTTTACTGGTACTCAGACTAGCCCCTCACCACAATGCTCTCCCACCTCCGACCTAACCACCCTGCCCTCTTCCGGGCCTCCTCCACCGCTGCCGCTCACCTGCGTCCAGCGCTTCCCCGCATGACCGCCCTCGCGCGATACTATGCGACCTCAGGCCCCGGACGCAACCCGACCCCCAAACGAAGGAACGTAACCGTCCTGTCCGACGATGGACGGTACGAGTGGGGGGAGCTGAGCGGCCGGGAGAAGGTCGCGCGGGCGACACAGCAGTCGGTGAATTTCCTTGTGGTCGTCGCTGGCGCCGTGTTGACGGTGAGTTTTCTGGCAGTCGCTCGCCAAATCGCATACATGCCTTTTGCGCGTCTTCTGAGCCGAAATCTGACGAGTCAATAATTCAGGGTGGAGTGTTCTACCTCCTCTATACCGAGGTCTTCTCCCCCAACAGCAAGACCTGGCAGTTCGAAAAGGCAGTCGAGCGCATCAAGGACGACCCCCGCTGTACGGATCTCCTGGGTGATCGCAGGGAAATCAAAGCGTACGGGGATAGCACCTGGAGCCGATGGGCGCGGAACCGACCGATTGCGTAAGTGGCCATACCGCATATCTTTTTGTGAGGGACAAAGGCCCCCCCAATGCTGACTTGCATGTGTGTGTGTGTGTGTGTGTGCAGGACGTCTGTCTTCCAGGATCGAATGGGCCGCGAACATTTGAAGATGAATTTCCATGTACGTTTTGTCTGGTTGTGTACTACTCCCACCTGGCATTAAGTGGTGGTTTCCAGTTCGGGATTACTGACTGTCTGCGTGGTGAAGGTTGAGGGCCCACTCAACACCGGTATCGTGTTCGTGCATATGATGAAGCCTTTGGATCAGTATGAGTGGGAGTACCAGCTGCTTGCCCTGGAAGTCAAAGGTGAGTGCGAGTGTTTTTTTGGGAGGGATAAAATGAATAGGTGGATTGACTGACCTTATTAGGCCACTCCCGAGTCGTTTTAGAGCAGGCACGCGAAAAGCCTGGAGTCGGAAAGGCGCTCAAGATCTTTGGCATTCAATGGCGATGAGTTGCTGCATGCTTGTAGCTACTAGGGAGTGTAGATGGAATAATCCATCTGCAACTCTATACTCTATCCGTGAGCTTGAACATGGTGAAACTTTACGAGGAATATCTAGCTTCTCGCCATTTTATGTGCTATCACGATTGTAAAACAGACTTATATACCCAAGAAGAAAAAAGTCTGGGATCGGATAATAAACGACCAAGAATAAGAAACATTTCTCATTTCGCTTCAGCGATCTATATACAAAATCATTCGTAACATGTCATACCCACCACAAACTATACAATCCGGGGACCCTCAAGAATGGTCTTGGCTTCCTCCGTCCGCCACCAACTCTTGCCCTCCTCACCGGGGAAGGCGAACGCATCCATACTCTCGGGCTTCATCTCGACACTGTATCCAGGCTCCAAGGGAGTGACGTAGTATCCATCCTTGACACTGGAGGGGTGCACGAAGTGCTCGTGCAAGTGGTCCACATACTCCAAGACACTCTTCTTACCGCTGACCACCACGTAGTCGATAGTGCTCAGATGCTGGGTGTACTCGGGCAGACCGACACCACCGGAGTGGGGGACGATGGGGACGCCGAACTTGCGGGCCAGCAGCAAGATGGCCAGGACCTCGTTGACACCACCGACACGGCAGGCATCGGCCTGGAGGACGGTCAGCGCTCCCGCCTGCAGGAGCTGCTTGAAGACGACGCGGTTCTGGCACATCTCGCCCGTGGCCACGCCGATGGGGCCGTGGGGGGTGTTCTCGAGGGCCTTCTTGATGGCAGCGTGGCCGAGGATGTCGTCGGGAGAGGTGGGCTCTTCGATGAACCAGGGCTTGAACTCGGCGAGCTGCTGCATCCACTCGATAGCCTCGGGGACGGACCAGACCTGATTGGAACCCGTGGGATTAGTTACTTGAGCTTTCAGTCTGCCATGCAAAGGATGACACTAGGCAAAGGCAACACATACCTGGTTGGCGTCCACCATCAAGATGTTTCCCTTGTCGTAACCGATCGCTTCACGAGCAATCGCCAACCGCCTGCGGTCCTCCTCGACGTTCGCGCCAACCTTCAACTTGAAGTGCTTGTAACCCTGAGCCACACTGTCCTTGAGCAGCGCCTTGAGCTTGTCCTCGGAGTAGCCCAACCAACCGGCACTGGTCGTGTAGGCCGGCACGGCCTGGCTCTGCTCGGCCTCCTTGATACGCTCCTGCTTGCCACCCTCAACCTCCTTGAGGAGCGCAATGGCCTCCTCAGGGGTGATCGCGTCGGTGATGTAGCGGAAGTCAATGCAGCGGACGAACTCCTCGGGAGTCATGTCCGCGACGATGCGCCAGACGGGCTTCTGGAGGGTCTTGGCCCACAGATCCCAGAGCGCATTGACCACCGCACCCAGGGCCAGGTGGATGACACCCTTCTCGGGGCCGATCCAGCGCAGCTGGCTGTCGGACACCAGGTACCGCCAGGTCTTGCCCCAGTCAGCAGTGAGCTCGTCGAGGTCCTTGCCAACGACGAGAGGGGCAAGGAGCTCGATGGCAGAGGCGACGATCTCGTTACCGCGGCCGATCGTGAAGGTCTATCTTCAGCATTAGTCTCGGGGGCTTGTTTTGGTTCGGCTAGGCGACGAATTGGCTTACCATGCCATGCCCAGCGTATTCGGAATCGGTGTAGATGATACAGTAGGCGGCAGAGTAGTCACCGGCGGCATTCATAGCATCAGAACCGGTCTTGTCGAGGGAGGTCTGTCATGAACGTAATGTGGATCAGCATGCTGCGGGGGAAGGAAAGAGTAAACAGAGAGGGGTAATCATGTCTGAAGGTCTGCCATACCGGAAACCTCACGTCCCGCGTGGTGAAACTGGTGATCTTGACCATCTTGTCTGATTGAGGCGGGGTCAATTGGAAATATTCCAGGTCTGTGAATTGCAAAAGAAACCCCCGTCGAGGGGACGATGGATGATTATATAGCGGGGGAGGGGACTGGCCCTTCCCCCATTTCCCCTCCACGTCGTGTGGGGAAACCCCGCCCGATTGGCGGAGGAATTGTGGCTGGCTGTGGGATGAGTTTCTCCGCCACTCACAGCTCTTCTTACGTTAATCAACTTCAATCCAGGCCTTAAAGTGAGTGATTTTTTTCTGGAGGCCCGCGTGACTGTCAGTGGATATTCTGGCGTGGGGGAAGAGTAAGGCTAAGGCTAAGATGAGCTTGATGTTTTACGAGGGAAGCAGGAATCTGCTGCAGCATGATATAAGTTACAAAATAGGTTGGGACAGATGCGGGAATGCAATGCAATGCAACACGCCCTTGCGCAAGAAGTAGGTTTAACACGAGTACACGACAATCCAGTTCATTTGGTTCATTTTGTGACTCATGATAGTCCTGGGCCCAAAGTAAACAACGAATCTTTCCTCTACCCGGAAAGACCTCTCTTCTCGCTCTCCGAGAAGAAGATAATCATCCGCCATAGCTTCCGGACCAACACCTCTGCCTCTTCGTCGAGAGCCTAGTGGTACCCAGTTAGATACGAATAAACAACGGATCTTAGATAGATGACTTACCTCCTCCAGCTGTTCCACCAGCTCTTGAGGTTGTCCATGCTTTCGAACATGTTCCTCGACCACTTCCACCAACATCTGTTCCTGCACGCCCAGGTATTCCACAATCTTCTTTTCCACAAAAGGCTTGAGCTGCTCGGTGACGACACTCTCGTCCACAAACTCCCACTTGACATCCCAGTTCCAGAGCCCCTCCTTGTCCGTGGGGATCTCCGCAGCCAGTTGTCGGGCGACTTGTGCGCGTTCCTCGTCGGACAGGCCAGCCGCTTCGGCAGCACTGTCGAACTTGATGGGGATAAGAGGTCGTCTGGCGGTGGCCTGTGGCTCCTCTTCGTCTTCCAGCAAGCCCTCGACCTCCGCAATAGTGCGGCGGGAGGTGGCAGCTTGAGCCTTCTGCGCGGCTGCGCCGAGAGAAAGCTTGAAGCGCTGGGGTTCGCGGGGAGCCTGGGTGCGTGACTCCAGCTCTTCGGCCTGCCGAGCGAGGAAGTCGTCTGCCATGCCGCGGGCCTGCTCCCGTTGCTGCACGGACCGGGCCCGTTCTCTTTCCTCCGCCGCCCGATCCGCTTCGTCCATGCTGACCTCACGGGCTCGGAACGCCGCCCGGCTGCGGAGCCATGCACCCCGATCGGCATAATAATCCTCCATTTTGCGGTTGGCCTCGACATCATCATTCCATTCCCGATACCGCTTGTCCATCTCATCGCGCACCTCCTGTACCTTGGCTGCCTCTTCCTTGTCTCGCTTCTTCTCGCGTTCCAATGCAGCAGTTCTGCTGCGCTCACGGTTCAGCCAGCGGCGTTCCTGGTCGAGGAACTGCTTCTCACGCTCGGACTCCTTCTTTTCTTGACGACGGCGCTCGAGTTCCTCGTCGCTAGCGTCCGAGTCTTCGTCTTCCCGGTCGAAGTAGACGGTTGTGGCCCCATTTATGTTACCTCCGTTGACGAAAGAAACCCCCTTCTGGTAGTCCTTAGGGACTTGAACTCCGAATGCCTTCGGCCCAGAAGGCACACCGCGGTCGCGAGGGCCCAAGGGAACTCCATTGGCGCCAGCAGCAGGCCCACTAGGGGCAGAAAGAGGAGGTGAGGCCAGTCGATTGATGCGTGATCCGGAATTGCGTGCTCGCTCCATAGACTCGATCTCTTCCTCCCGCTTCAACCGCTCGATATCCCGGCGATTGCTACGCTCACGGAAGGCAGCAATTTCCTTAGCGACCGTTTCTCTCATCTCAGGAGGGATATCGGAAAGCTCATCCTCCACTGTGATCGGAATAGTAACGACTTCCGCGGATGTTCCATCGTTCTGTCCCTCGGAATCCTTCATAGCGGTGTCGCCTTCACGATCGATGGCCGATGCATCTTCCTTCTGTGTGGGTGCAATGGGGTGACACAGATCCGACAAGACGGCCGCAAGGCCGCTGCGTGCAGCACCTATCCGCGCCTCGCGTTCGGCTGGGTCCTGCTCTCCCTTGCCGGACTCGTATTGCTCCAGGTATTTCAACGAGCTCTCATCGACAACCACCTTTAGATAGACACAGTCAGTACAGTCAGACATCTTTAGTAGCAGGCAACGTACCAGTAGAGTACTCTTTTCGACTTCGTGCTCTTCCTTGTCATCGCCCTCCCGCGGTGACTGTCTCTTCACAGGGACTTGCACATCCTTGAGCACTTCCACAGCAGTGCTAAGACTTTCCGGGTCCTCGTACTCTGCAAAGCCGAATTTGCATGGTTTCTCATCCGCATCGGTGGCGCGAATCCAGCGCCGAAGGTTTCCCGCCGAGCGCAAAATTCTCTCCACGCCTTCGTCCCCAGCCACACCTTCCGTAATGCCGCCCACAAAGATGGTCCGGACGATCTCCTCTCGCGTCGGCGGTTGAAGTTGCATCATCGCATCGCGAACATTCTGACGCTGAGACTCTAGGCTGGAAGAGCCCAAGCCGGCCCGGCGGCCGGGAGCGTCTCCCCCGCGCTCCTTGCTGGTATCCGGTGTAGCTGATTTGGACGGGCCTGAGGTTCCGAGACGAATGACTGGGGCAGAGAAATTGATATTGGGCATGTTGGGAGGAGGTTGGAAGTTGGCTGGGAAGCCGGCTGGTCGACCGGGCTGCTGCGCGTTGGCTTGCTGCATCCCCGGCGGAGGAGTCGTTCCAGGTGCGACCATACCTGGTGGAGGAGCTAACGAAGTCATTATGTGATGCGACAGTGATCCAAAGAACTGATAATGGCCTTACCCATGCCCGGAGGTGCTCCAGGGTAGCTTCCGAAATCTGGTGGTCGGCCATAAAGGCCAGGGGCTTTGCGAGATTAGTACGCGCGTCAAAGAGAACGAAGGGAAGAGCAGGTCAAGGACATACGTTGGTAAGGATTGTACATTGCAGCGTGTTCGCAGCTTCCGTTCCGGTAGCTGCAAAAGATTTAAGACGCGAGATACGTAGCCGATAACAAGACTGAATGATGTATTGACCAGAGACAGATTGCTTGACAGGTTGCTTGAAACAAACCCAAGAGCAACACAACTGTCGCCGAGTGCGGTTCAAAGGTCGAATGAGAAATAGGGAGATTTGGTGGATGGGGAAGATGGAGGACTTGCGGCGGATTTGATCGAGGCTCGATCAGAAGGGTGGCCTGTGCGTGGCCCTTGCTGGAAGCCTGACAATTCAGGCCTACAACACAGGCCTCAGGTGTCAAACCCGCTCATGCAGAAGCATTGATCGTCACTATCGTCGCTTACGCAGGCAATGGTGCTGATTATCGATATCATGCTCATTGGATTGCTTAACTGAGCTCTGATCATCATCCTCTACTTGCAGACTTCCTAGGCAAATTATGCTCCAATAACCACGCCTCGAGCAAAGCTTTACTTTCTACAACTGAGCCTTCGCATATGTTGGTAAATGTGACTTGAGAAGGCTAATCCTATCTGTTGCGAATGGACCATGTTGACTTCCCAATTGTTATGTGAACTGATCGTCGATGTCTTGAAGCCTCAACTCCCATTGAGGTCTGTCAATTGACCGTGGCTGAACATGGGTAGAGCAACATCTCTCAATGTGACTGAGAAAGGAAGCATTTCCCGGGGTGTGACCAGCATTTTGAGGATTTCCCAAAAGCTTCAATTCGAGCATAAAACCTTTGAAGGACCCTCAGCTCCTGATCACCATTGATCGGACAACATTCCTCCGGAAGTGCCTCAGGTGAATTGGCGTGAAAGGCTCGTATCCAGACGGTAGCCGGTCACTCCTTCGAGATTAATATCCGAGACCTTCGGGAGCATCGTTCTAGAAGCACAGCGATGACAAACATATCCATAGAACCGTCCAGCTGACGGTATATCGCAAACCATTCGTCCACGGCAATGGAATTATCGGATAAATCGAAGCGTCACAGCCGGCAAGGCGGCAGGTGCGACTGGTGAGAAACGGTGGTGGGGGGGGGGAGTTTCCTGCTTGACCGGGAGTGCCCCACGGCAGCCCCTCTCTGGACGGAGGGCAACACGCCGGTTACGACATCTTCGCTCCTTCTCTGTTGTCACCCTGTCCGCGCTTCCCGCTGTCTATCTTTCTCTCTCTCTCTCTCTCTCTCTCTCTCTCTTTCTTCTTTTGCTTCTTCAGCTTCTGTCCTCCCTTTCACTTCCTTCACTAAATCCCCTTCTCCCATCTTCACTACTCAGGTATGCATCAGCTCTTGACCCCTCGTTCCTTCGTGAGCTAGCTGTAGCTCTTTCTACTCTCCATACACTGCTTTGAGCCCCGCGCTGACGTCCACATTGGCTGTAGCTCCCATCACCATGCCTAGCTTCTCTCAAGCCACCGAGCTTTCCGCCTGGAAGGAGCTCCAGGACCACCACAACACCGTGGGTCGTAACATTGTCCTGAAGGAATGCTTCCAGAAGGATCCCCAGCGCTTCGAGAAGTTCAGCCGTACCTTTAACAACACCGTTGACAACACTGAGATCCTCTTCGATTTCTCCAAGAACTTCCTTACTGAAGAGACTCTGGCTCTCCTGGTCAAGCTGGCCAAGGAAGCCAACATTGAGGAGCTCCGTGATGCCATGTTCAAGGGTGACCACATCAACTTCACTGAGGACCGTGCTGTCTACCACGCCGCCCTGCGCAATGTCTCGAATGAGCCCATGCAGGTGGATGGCAAGAGCGTTGTTGAGGACACCAATGCTGTCCTTGAGCACATGAAGGAGTTCTCCGAGCAGGTCCGGAGCGGTGAGTGGAAGGGTTACACTGGCAAGAAGATCAACACCATCATCAACATTGGTATCGGTGGTTCAGATCTGTAAGTAGGATCTGGTTTCTCGATTAGCGCGTTAGACACAATACTAACTGCAGAATCCAGTGGTCCCGTCATGGTGACCGAGGCCCTGAAGCCCTATGGTGCTGCCGATATGAAGCTGCACTTTGTCTCTAACATTGACGGAACTCACATTACTGAGGCCATCAAGGACTCCGACCCCGAGACCACCCTCTTCCTGATTGCCTCCAAGACTTTCACCACGGCCGAGACCACCACCAACGCCAACACCGCGAAGAAGTGGTTCCTCGAGACCGCTAAGGAGGATTCTCACATTGCCAAGCACTTTGTTGCCCTCTCCACCAACGAGGCCGAAGTCACCAAGTTCGGTATTGACAAGAAGAACATGTTTGGTTTCGAATCGTGGGTTGGTGGCCGCTACTCCGTCTGGAGTGCCATCGGTCTGTCTGTTGCCATTTACATCGGTTTCGACAACTTCCACCAGTTCTTGGCTGGTGCCCACGCCATGGACAAGCACTTCCGCGAGACTCCCCTGGAGCAGAATATCCCCGCTATCGGTGGTCTGTTGAGCGTGTGGTACAGTGATTTCTTCGGTGCCCAAACCCACCTGGTTGCTCCCTTCGACCAGTACCTACACCGCTTCCCTGCCTACCTGCAGCAGCTTTCTATGGAGAGCAACGGTAAGGCGATCACCCGCACGGGCGAGTACGTCAAGTACACCACTGGCCCTATCCTGTTCGGTGAGCCGGCCACCAACGCACAGCACAGCTTCTTCCAGCTGCTGCACCAGGGCACTAAGCTCATTCCCTCGGACTTCATCATGGCTGCCGAGTCGCACAACCCAATCGAGAATAATAAGCACCAGCGCATGCTTGCGTCCAACTTCCTCGCGCAGTCCGAGGCTCTTATGGTCGGTAAGACCCCCGAGGAGGTCAAGACTGAGGGTGCCCCCGAGAACCTGGTGCCTCACAAGACCTTCTTGGGCAACCGCCCCACCACCTCGATCTTGGCCCAGAAGATCACTCCCTCCACTCTGGGTGCTTTGATTACTTACTACGAGCACGTTACCTTCACCGAAGGTGCCATCTGGAACATCAACTCGTTCGACCAGTGGGGTGTCGAGTTGGGCAAGGTTCTGGCCAAGAAAATTCAGCAGGAGCTGGAGACTGACGGCGCCGGTGCTGGCCACGATGCCTCGACCAGCGGCCTGCTCCTTGCTTTCAAGAAGAAGGCCAACCTGGCATAGGGGAACCAATCGGATGCTGTGGGGTGAATATGCTTGGAGGACAAAAACAAGTTGTACAAGACAAGTTGTACATGTTCATGAAGCCATGAGTGACTTTATAATTTAATACCTTTCCATTCAAATGAGTATAGTAGGTGCGGATACAGTGCACAACGTAGGGATCTCCTTTCTCTTGCATACGTGTATGGACAGAAGTGCAGAAGTGCAAAGCTCTAGATTGGCATTGTTGGAACAGCAATCGCACTAACACAAATGGGTGAGGCATCCCACAGAGTATAAAAAGAACAGCAGATGTGATGACTGTATGAGTGAGATGTGGTGGATGACGGCGAATTAACCAAGGTTTAGTTCCCTTGCGGCGGCGGCCCCCATTACCGTGGACCACAACCAACACTCTGTTTGTCTTGCTGTTCTTTCTCCGTCCTCGCTCCTTATCGCTAGCAGCGAGCCCAGACGCCTTGTCGGCGTGCGCAAGAATAACATTCTTCACCAACAATGCCATCCCACTCCAGGGGCAGCACCGCCCACACTCTCTGGCAGTATGGCCTTCTATTCTCCGTCATTCTCCAGACCTCCGCGGCGGGGGGCAGCGATTCCCCGTCCAGCGGTAGAAACGGGTACAATTATGGACAAGCCATCCCAGTGACCTGTCTCAATCGGACCATGTGAGTTCTTTCACTGGCAACCTCGCTCGAAACAGAAAAGCAAACATACTAATCACATTGGTCTTAAAGCGACTCGGGCGAGCATGTAAATTACCACCACCATTACCCACTCCCCTCTCTTCCTCAATACATCGCCGCCATTACCTTGAAAAGCGTCGAAAACAGGTTACTGACGCCCAAACTCTTTCATCCAGATAACCGACAATCAAGGACACCTACAATACATCCCCTTCCCAACATGCAACGAGACCTCCCTCCCGCTCGCCCTCCACTACGGCGTCTCCGAGACTGTCAACTGCACCATCGCCTCGCTCCCGGATGAGCTCTACCACCTCCTCGAATACTACGTCCACTCGGACGTGCCCATGACCTGTCGCGTGCCCACCGCTCCCTTGGCCCAGCATCTCCTCAACACGCCCGAGACCGCGGACGACGGCCAAGCCGCGGGGAGCCACGAGCTCGAGATCGACACCGACGGCCCGTCCTACACGCCCATCACGTTCGCGCTCCAAGGCACGCTCCAGCGGAGCCACCTGCACATCTGGACGGACATGAACCTCCTGGCGCACAATATCGCGGCGGACTTGAAGGACATGAAACAAAAGGCAAAGAAGGGTAAGGGCAAGGCGGCGGCCGCGGGCTACGTCGTCGCGGGCACGGCGTACTCGGTCCCGGAGTTCGATGTCATCGTTCAACGACAGATGGAGAAGAAACATACCAGCGACGAGGAACAGGCGGCGTCCGCGGCCGTGGCGGAGGCGGCCAAGGATCCCTGGACCGCGGGCCATGGGACGAAAGTCATCCGCGGGGAGCCGTTGACGTTCTCGTTTCACGTCAATTGGGTCGAAGGGGGGAGGGGCATTGGGTGGCCTTCTTCGGGGCTGGGGTCGTCTGGTACGCTGGGAGGAGGAGACGGGGCCGAAGGCGCGGGTTTCTTCTCGAGACTGGTGTTCTTTGTGATGGCTGCTGGGGTGGGGGCGGTTGTGGCTGTGTATTGGGAAAGGAACGGGGGCTCTTTTGGAATGAGGCGGCGGAGGGGTGAAGGGATCCTCGGGGTGAGTTCGTCGTCCAGAGGGAAGGTGGGTAATGGGGCAGTGGGAATCACGTATGGGAACGGCGGCAAGATGAATGGGTATGGTGGTTATTCTTCGGCTGGGGCTGGCAATGGGGCCGCCGGGGCTGGGTACGGATATGGAGGGTATACCGGTAGTGGGAAGAGGGATTGAACTGACTTTTTCTGATCTTTTTGTCTGCAATTGGAAATGTCTGTATTGTATATGGGTTTATGCACAATCACGGAGGATGCAAAATAGCTAGCTGTATTGCACGGCATGGACTGGACATAGACCACAGATATCGATAGATGGAAAGATAGATAGATAGACCTTTTTTGTGATAACTCTAGTGTTGGGCACAATGCGATTCAAAAACAAATGAGATATCGCAAGAAAAAAAACAAGCAAACCATAGCATATGAAACAATCTCCGAATTTAGTATACAGAGCAAGAAACACCCTCTTTTTCCCCTCCCGCAACAAATCTCTATAGTGATCGTTGCTTCCATACATCCCTATCTCTCAAAAAACAAAACCCCTTCTTTCCTCCCTAAACCCCATGACCGCATCTCGTTATATACACCCCCGGGAACCCCCGTCCATCACCCGCCTCCTATCGCCACGAAACACCGAGAACATAAAAAACCTTACCAACCCTGAGCTCTCATCTTCTGCACCCGGTGCAGGGTGTCCTGGAACGAGAACTTGAACAGCTTCCTCCACCGTGCACTCCGCTTGTTCTTGCGCAACTGTCCCTTGCGGACGTGGAATTTCTGCTCGTTGACCATTCTCTTCAATTTGTGCTGGGCGAGGCGGGCGCCCAGCATGCGCAACGAGCTCGACAGATCGTTGCCGCGGTCGGGCTGGACGAAGATCTGCCGGCCGAGGGAAGGCCCCAGCTTCAGGCTGATCTTCGGCGCCAGGCGCAGGTTCTCCTGCGCCGAGAGGCCGGCGAGCGGGCCCGTGGCGGAGGAGGAGGGCGACGACGACTCGTCCGACAGCGCGTTGCGGCCGCCCAGTCGGAGCTTGTTGAAGAGCTCATCGATGCCCGCGTCGGCGTCGGCGTTGGCTTTGAAGGCGGTGGGTCGGGGCGATGACGGGGCGCCGCCGAAGGCTCCTTGCGGTTTTGTGAGGTTCGGGAAGGCGGATGTTGAGCGCTTGGGGAAGGCGGATGTGGATGTGGACGACGGCGTAGAGGGTGAGGCGGGCGGAGATGAGGACGAAGAGGAAGAGGAAGAGGAGGAGGAGGAGGAGGAGGAGTTGTACCGGATCGCTGGGAGGGACTGTCTGGCGAATTGCTTCGTATAAAGAAGGGATGTCGTCGTCGTCGGCCGGGCAGTCGAGCGAAGACACTGCGATAGGGTACGCATCTCCATGGCTAGGCTCTATGGTCGTGCAATCGGCACGACGAAAGACCGATGTCAAGGGTGTTACCACTGAGTGAGAGCAAGGACTCACGCTCCAATTGAGACAAGAGGGGTGGTTATCGGAGGCAGGATCGCGGAAAAGGGAGTCTCAATAGCAACTCGGCCTATCCGTTGGAATTTCCCGCTCGGAAATCTTCGTGTCACGTGAGATGCGGCATACTTCGAACAATTGACTTGAGATCCTAAGGGACTCTACAGGTTACATCACTCCTTACCCCTCATTTATATCGGATCTGGGAGCAAAATAGTCAGGAAAAGGCTATACTTGCTCGTTTTATTTGTTTATAACTCAACGGAGCACGTCTCAAAAACCCCCACGCAGATATAAGAAAAAATGTCCTCCGTCACAATCGCAACTCTTCCCCGCATGAGCCGCGATGCTCTCTCGGCCCTCCTCCTCTCGGCCACTACCCCGAGCAATCTAGCCATCGTAGATGTCCGTGACTCTGGTACGTTCCTCCTTCCTACGACTACTCACACCGCATGGCACTCACACGAATGATACTAGACCACGTCGGCGGGCACATCTTTTCTTCCACCTGGGTCCCCAGCTCCACGTTGGACGTGCGCATGCCCGAACTCGTCCGCACGCTGAAAGACAAGGAGCAGGTTGTGTTCCACTGTGCGCTCAGCCAGCAGCGCGGCCCCTCGGCGGCTCTCCGTTATGCTCGGGAGAGAGAGCGTGTGCTCGGCGCCGAGGAAAGCCATAAGCAGAAGGTCTTCGTCCTGGAAGGCGGCTTCGTGCAGTGGCAGGAGAAGTACGGCAAGGACACCCGCTTGACCCAAGCATATGTGGAAGATATTTGGCGGGAGTACTAAAGGGTTTGTTTCGTTGTCTCTTTTTCTGGGGATGAAGCGGTGTTTTCTTTTATATATACCCTTGTGGCTTCGTTGTTTTAGATTATTTCGGACTGAGGGCCATGAGTTTCTATAGAAACCAGAGCGATATACGGAGACACTCAGTCTGGAACAAAAAATTTCTACGAGATTGAAAAGCGTTGAGGCTCAATCAACCGCAGTGCATTGTACGGTGAAGAATAATATACACTTTTCTTTTATCTTCTACTAGACAATGGCTCATGCCATGATATTTCCCCCGAACCCAACTGGACGGCGCTTACCATTATTTTCCGGAACGATGGCCATGACCTTGTAGATCTTGCCCATCCCACCGCCGCCTTTCTCAACCAGTCTCTTCCAGCCAGTCTCTAACGTCTTCTGCTTCGACTCATCCGTCACGCTCTTGAGCAGCTGCTGCATCCGCTCCGCGATTCCCATGGCATGCAAGAAATCACCCTGCTCAACCGGTCCATGAACCTCAACGCCTTCGCTGGCCTCGATGGCCGCCTCAGCCAACGCAGTGAAGTCCACGTCGGCACTTACATCCACCTGTCCCGGCGCCGAAAGTGCCGGCACAGTCTGATGGTGTTGGATTCCACGGAGCGAGTTAATGGGCACCGTAGCAAGAGTGCCATAGTCCATGATCAGCGCTGCGCCGGAAGGCACACGCTTCGCCGCAGCCGGCGTCTCCCCATCAGTAGCAGCAGCAGCCTTCTTCGTGGCCGTGCGAGGCGGTTCTGACGCCCCGCCGATCCGCCTTGCAAAGTCAGACGCATAGATTCGGCTCTCAGGACTGACCTCGATCGTAGAGCCCGGCTGAGACTTCAAAGCGCGATACCGTTCCGAGATTTCAGGGATGACCAAGGACGACGGCGTGGACGCCTTGGCCAGCGTCAGTTTGAACTCCGGTTCTCCCTCGATGTTCTCCTCCACAGCCTTGGGGTTGAGCGTCACCAACAGCTCGCGCCATTGCGGCACGTTCGCGGCCTTCAATGGTTTCCGGAGCTTTGCAGGTCCCGTGGGCGTCATGACCTCGTCCTTCGGCTCGTTCTCCGGTGCCGGGGGCACGGACTCAAAGGCATGGATGGGTAACGCGTCGAAGAACTCGTGTGCGAATATGAAGGGCGTTTTACTCTCCTCTGCACACACACAACCCCAGATGGGATATCGAATCAGTACGGCCCACGGACCCAAAACAGTAGAGAGGGAGGGGACTAAAGCATCCTCACCATGCGGCAGCAGCCGAATATCCTCCACCCAGATAACCGGCACGTCAAAGTACTTGCACACACTCCGGTGGCCAATGTCCGTTTCCTCCATCGCCGCATCCTCGCCGCAGAGCAACCGCTTCTGAACCTCTCTCAACGTCGAACTCGCCTCAACCAGATATATCGCCTCGATGCTCGACGCAAAGCTTTTGAAATTGCGGAACGTCTTTATGATGAACATAACCGCCACCCATCGTTAGAAATCTAGTCCCTCACTCCACACAGTGGGAATAATGTGTGGGAAACTCACCCTCAACATATCGTCCATCAACGTCCCCTTCCCCGGCCCAACCTCCATGAGCTGCACCCCACTCCTTGTCCGTCCCTGCGCGATCCACTCTGTAATCGTCCAGATCCCGACCAGCTCGCCGAACACCTGCGAGATTTCCGGCGAGGTCACGAAGTCGCCTTTCTTGCCGAAGACCTCGCCTTCGCCCGCGGGCCGGGTGGTGTAGTACCCTCCTTCTGGGGAGGTGAGGACTTGGCGCATGAACGCCGCGATGGGGATGGGGCCCGTAACCTATGTTTTTGGGACAGGTGCGTTAGTTCTATCGGTAGTGTTTCAGGGTGCGGACTGGGTGCGAGCAGGGGAAAAGGAAAGATAGCTGTCTTGGAACAGAAAACGCTACCTTCATGGCATTAGCCAGGGTTTGGGCGAGAGGGGTCGACCATTGGCGGTTGTTGTCGAATGAGGATTGACATCTTCGTGCGGACAGGACGAGGGTCTGCGTCTGCGTTGCGCGTTTTCTGAGCGCGCGGAGATGCGTCAGGGCACGCCCGGTTGCTGGATGCATCTTGCGCGCACCGTCCTACGCTATGGGTAGGTGCGAGGAGTGCGTTCGGTTGCGGGATGAGGCTCAATTGTTTTGATCGTAGGACCCCAGACAGGTTTCCATTAGCGTTGATTCGAGGGATGAGCAAGTAATAGAGCTATGCTGCTGAGATAGACATTACGCCTTCTCCAACTTCTCCGCAAAACTTCCGCGGCACGTGATTGTGTCCTGGGCCTTATCGATTATCAACGCTTTCCGGATACGGGCATGAGCTTGGTTTGAATTAATTGAGATTTAGTTTACATGTTTCTGTTCTACCCGTAAATTCTACTCATTTCCCCGATGTATACATTTTCCCCTGAAATTAGGTGGCATAGATCGATTTCGCTACCGCCAGTGACGGCTCAGCGATGATAGCGCCTGCCCTGCGGTTGTTGGCTCTGCTGTGGCGCATCCACCATCATCTGGTCACTGTAGAGACCTGCCTCTTGCGTGTCCTGGTTCGAGGCTCCGCCGTTTCGGGGCCCATTCCGATAGGCCCTGTTATTCCATCTGCGGTTGTTGCCCCGCGGTCTGTGTGGTTCGACTGCTTGGTTCTGCTCGGTGAACCCGTAGTTTCCGTCTTGAACCGTCGTGTCACCGGAACGGTGCGAGCGGCGGTCTCGATCCGCTTGCTCCCGGAGGTTGTTGAAGGGGCTCTGTGGGCTCTGGTAGTTGGTGGCACCGTGGTCGGCTCCGAGGCTGAGGGGTTTCAGACGCATCGAGATGATACGGCCATCAGCCTGGCCATTTATTAGTGTCAGGCTGAGATTAAACGCGAAAAAAACTGACCCTCTGGTTGTGAAAGTTGGCGATCGCGCTGTCTGCGCCCTGTCTCTCTGCAAAGGTGATTTCGGCCGACACTGCGGGGTGCTGCGTGATCACCCAGCAGCTGAGGACTGGGCCGGCCACGGGCTCAAGAGCCGCTTGAATGTCGGCGGCGGTGGTTCCTGGTGCAAAGTTGCTGCCGACTACCACGGAAGGTCCTGAGCCAGCACCCTTGATGGTCATCCCCACCTTATTGCCTCGTACGGTTGCTTGTCCGCTATCGGGAAGGAGTGCAGAGAGCAGGCGCTGCTCGTCGGGACGGCGCTGCTTTGCGCCAGGTCGATCGGTCTGACGCGCCTTGGGGCGGGCCTGGTGAATGGCGGGCTTGGGGTTTATTCTAGGATTTGCAGGCGAAGACGTCGGGCGCTGGAATGAGTCGGTGAATAGTTAGTATTTTTATTCAACCAGAGAAGCCGGCGCGATACCGTTGGGTTGATATTTACCTTGGCTACCCCGATGCGACTGGCGAGACTACCTGGCTTCGCATCCTGTGTCTTCTTTGCGCCTTTTGCGGCGCCCCCATTTGTTTGTCGGTTCTTACCGAGTAGCTGGTTTGCAAGGTTTTCGTTCTGCTTTCTTTTGCGATCTTCAAGCAGAGCTTAGCTCGAGTGTCTAGGCTGGTGAATCGATTGCACTGAACGATGAAAAAGCTTACCAGCTTGAATGATGGCATTGAAGTCAGCGGCAGCCTTTCCGGCAGCCATGATGGAAGGTAGTAAGACCGATAGAGGGTCCGAACGACCAGGAAAATGCTCGAGTATTTGACTCGAGACAAGCGTATGAGAGATATGCCGGGTATTAGAGGCCCTAATGGAGAGACACGTTGACTGAGGTGGTTCGAGAAAACGGTTGAGGGAGAGTTGTAGGTCGAGCTGAATCAAAGCGCGGCGGAAAGCATTGAATGCTCGGATTGGAAGTTGGAGTTCCGGCGCGGGTTCCGCTTCCACTTCCCTATTTCTATTTCTATTTCTATTTGCGTACACTTGGAGTACTCCAGGTTGACACTTTCTCCTACCCCGATGGAGTCCTATTAAATCGCCATCATGAGCTTCGGGCCCAGGATGTCTTATCACAGTCTCACCCTTGCGAGCCATCCAGTCTGAGTAAAGAAACCCAGTCTTCGAAATGATCGGGTAGCTGCAACACAGGCTGTTCGGTTCGGCTTTTGTCTGTGCAACTTTCAATTCAATTCATTTGTCATGGCCAGAAAGGAAGGTACTTCCCACTCCCACCCAACACCTGCCTCTGTCCGACATTGCAAATGCGCCTGTCGGACAGCGTGGCGGGTTTGTTATGGCTTCCTTCAGCCTGCCTGGTCCTCGCCTTAATCTGCCTCGCCCTTTGAGTAGATCCCATGCAAGAAACACCCGGTCCTCGTCTTTACAATCGACGACAAGCATCGGACTTTCTGCCACGGCTTGGTAAAACACGGTTGGGTCTAGTTCCAACTTCTTTTGGGGGGTTCTTCTTGGAAAGACTTCAATTGAGGCGAGCAATGGATGTACCAGACCCGGCCATTGGAAACAACCGACATCGCCCGGCGTCATCGTTCTCTTTTACTCTCTGCTACCCCGTCAGCCGCAGGAACAGGTATGCCTCTGCCTCGACAATATCAAGAGGAGTGCTGATTGTTTAGGGCTGCCATACGACGGCTTACCGCCCCCTCGCCAGCATGTGAGGAAAGCATTCACTACCCAGTCTTCAATCCGCGAGATCCGCGACACAACCCTGATGCTATCGCCTCGTCATGGCTGGCGAATGACTATGATCTCTCCCAGCAAACAGCTTCACCAAGAACAAGTCGTTGGATACAGGACCTGCCCAGAAGATCTCTTCGAAGAGCCCACCTAAGACTACTTGCACTGAGGTCGGGAATACGTCGGCGATCCAGTGGCCCTCCACCTGTTCGCACCGGCCACCCCAGCGCCTGCTCCTCGGCGGACTCGGCAAAAGACTCGCTGGATCAGCAGGGAACACTCTACTCATCCACGGTGTCCGAGGCTAGCACTGCCGAGGATGTTGATTTCGGAGCCGACCTCCAACGCATCAGCTGCAAATATCCTTCGGAACCGGATGGCGACATCAGCAAGTATCTGCAGAAACTACCGATTCATGTCGAATGTGAAGCAGAAAGTCTTTTTCTGAATGGTTCGACTGTGCGTCACTGTCGCTCCGAGGCGGTTCTCGCTGTCCCTAGATTCGAGGTCAATTCGACGGAATCACAACATGGACATACCGCGAGGTTGCAAACCACAGCGTTTCAGGGATATCATAATGCAGCAGAAGCTGTGAATGAGTCCAATGAGGCTGTGACGGGTCAGGAGTCTCGCACCGCCACCACTACCGTGTCAGTTAGGCCCAACGATTCTGGCGAACCCAGCCCGAGGGACAGCGAGATGGAACGCAGCAATCACTATTTTGCTGCACCGGGATCTTCATCGAATGATCCCAATGACCCTGATTCACAGTCGCAGTCTTTTACGCGCGTGAGTCCCAGTATTGACACTGCCTCAAGTTCAGCCCCCACCAACTCGCGCAAATCGAGTGCGCTGCGGATGTCGATCAATGCGATCAACAGTTACAAGCCAGCCATGACTCGCTGCAAGACTAATCGTGTGTCTGAAACGCCTCAGATAATAGACGCCGACTTTGCCGTGGAGTCTTTGAAATTGTGCGACCGATTGGGAAATAGAGACAGCCATGCTCCCGAGGTGGATCAGGAGAGCGAATCGCCGTTCCATGGATTCAACCAATCTGAGGAGACACCAACAAGGGCCAGCGAGCCTTGCGAGACTGAAGTCAACACACCAGGTTCGCCGTTCCCTGAGAACACGATGACTGCGATGCCGCAGACAGTTGTGGCATTTAACCGCTCAGCGGATCCTGACGGGCCGGCACATGTAGGTCATGAGGCCGCTACTGCGTCCATTACTGGTGTGAATGAACAAACAGGATTCGGCCCGCTGATGGAAGAGAGCATTGGGGGATTTTCCCAGAACGACGAGCAACGGTTTATGTTAGAAATGGATCAGGTGTTAGAGGAGCCATGGCCCACCATTGATACCGATGATTTGGCGTCACTTCTCGCCCTTAGAGATGAGTACTTCCTTGTCGACAAGTCACCCGATATCCGCCCCGACCGTGATAATAATGCACTCAAGTCCGAAAGAAGCTTCACTGGCGACGGCTGCTTATATAGTGGGCCTGGACTTGATCGCCATTCGTCGACCAGGACTCAAGGGATCCCCGAGATCGTGGGCCCGAGATCCGCCATACAATTACAGGGTCCACGGTCTGCCCGCGCCGAGCGCGATGCCAGTGACTCCACTGACGAGTATGTCTCCGGCTATCCTGCGAGGTATTACTTTTCATCTCGAAGACCTTAATTCTTAATTCCCATTGCCAGTTCTATATTGGCGGACCAGGCGACTCTACCATATTTTTACATACACCGCTCAATTGACTCTCCAATGTTCGAGGCTCATGAACCAGGGAGCGAGCTTTTCTGAAATAGTCTTTCTCTTCGCTCCCTTGGAGTTGTTCCACAACTTTTATGCCCTAAACCCAAATATTAGTCCCCTGATCGCTACCTGGGAAGCCTTCCAGATAATGGTGTTGAAATTCGTAAACGGGCTATCAAATGTGTCACACCCACGAGGCGAAACTCTATATCTAGTCCAACCGTAAAAGTACATCCTTCATAGCCAAGGGAGCACTACCCCAGGCGCAAGGTAAACCCCGCCCCGGCCTCCGGGCCATCGGCACCCGCCTGCGCACCACCAAACACGCTCGCGAAATCCAACTTGGGGGCTTCCTGGCCGCGCTTCGGCGCCTCGGGGGTCTCCCGTCGTCTCCGTTTCTCCTGGCCCGCCTTGGACGGGAAGGTAGGGAACATCTCCTTGGGCTTGGGCCGAGGGTCTTCGCGGAAGTACGGATGGGCCAGGCATTGCTTGGCCGACGGGCGCGCATTGGGGTTCAGCGCCAGGAGCGATGACAGCAGCCGCAGGCCCTCGTTGGTCAGGTACGGGAACTTGCCGCGCGGGAGGAGCGGCGGGTTGGCACCACCACTGCCCGGGGCTGAGGCAGAGGATGGGAGGCGAAGGGATTTGGCGTTGGGAAGGGATCGGAATTCCGGCCACGTTTGGGTTGTTGGTGGGCCGGTTAGGGCGAAGATCTATTGGTCGTTCGTCAACTCTCAAACTGTTTTCACTGCAAGGGTGTAATGGATGGGGGCGAGAGAGGGCGGATGAAGGCGCATACCTTGGACACCTGATCGACCTCATTCTTGCCCTGCAGCAGGGGCTCCTTGCCCAGCAGCTCCCCGAAGATACACCCGATGCTCCACAGGTCAATCTCCGGGCCGTACTTGTCGGCGCCCAGCAGCAGCTCCGGGGCGCGGTACCAGAGGGTGACGACCAGCTGGGTCAGCTTGGGCGGCGGCGGGTCGCCGTAGTAGCGGGCCATGCCGAAGTCGGCGATCTTGATCTCGCCGCGGTTGTTCATCAGGAGGTTCGAGGTCTTGAGGTCGCGGTGCATGATCCACTGCGCGTGGAGGAAGTCGAGCCCGGAGATGATTTGGAGGAGGAGGGTTTTGGTCTCCGACGGGAGGAAGGGTTCGCGCATGTCGTCCAGGAGGGTCTTGAGGTCGTGTTCCAGGAAGGGCATTACGAGGTAGACTCTGGGTTGGGGGTGATCTCTGTTAGTATGGAGCGGTTTCGTGTTCACTTTGAGGGGATTTGTGGAATATCACTTGGGGAGAGGGGGGCTTCCATGGCGTTGTGTACAAGTGAAAACGTACTCATCCATCTTGGTCCCCATTACTACCTCTCGTAGTTCAATGATGTTCTGATGTCGCGCTTCGAATAAGGTCTGGATCTCTCGGAGCCCCGTCACCGGGAACCCCTCCGGCGAGGTGGGCTCCAGCTTGAGCTTCTTGAGCGCCACGATCTCGCCGGTCGTGATGTCCTTGGCGCGGCTGACGAAGCCGTAACTGCCTTCTTCGATGTGGTTGAGGCGCTCGAAGTTGTCGACATGGCGACAGGGGCCCCATTCGGAGGCTGGGAGTGTGAGGAGGTTGTTCCCTTCGGCGGTGGTGTTGGGTTTGGATGGTTGCGGGGATTGTCGGGCTTGGTCGTGGTCGGTGGAGAGGCGGCGACGCTTGGAGGGTGGAGGCGCGTCGGCCTGGGTGAAATTGTGATCTTGCGATTGAGCCTGGAGTTTGGGCTCTTGCCGCTGTTGTTGTTGTTGCTGTTGCTGCTGTTGCTGCTCGTCTAGCTGACGTTGTTTCTCGGCTTTGGCGCGTCGTTTCTCTTCCTTTTCGCGTTTGCGTTGGGCGAGAATGGCCTCCGTCTCTGGGTCATCGTCGTTGGCCCAGCGGGATTTCGAAGACATGGTCTAGATGTGCAGGCTATTGGTTGGACGACATAGGCAATTGTGATGTTGTTGTTTGGTGATTTGAGGCACAGAGGTGAAGCTGTTGGAGCTCAGCTACTATCGCAACCTCGACCATGAAGATGAACGACAGGGCACCCGGATGATTGGCCGGATGACGCTATGGGTTGACGGAGCGGGTCTGAGAAGGAACTAAACCTGATCGGGAGGTTGATTTCAAAGCCGCTCCCCGCCTCGGCCCGCATTCAAGAAGACGAGGGAGGGAGGGGTACGCCGTACAGTATCTGATCATTCTGTGATTCTGGCTGCTGCTGCGTTACGGACTGGAACTCTGCGGGCTCTACTAGACGAGATGACTATCGAACCTTTCCAGGTGGGTGGTGTTGCTTTCTACGCCATGTGTTACGCAGTCCTAATCAATCCAGACCACCTTCGCGGTCCCGATGACCTGCGAGGGTTGCGTTAAAGATGTCTCCGCGTCGCTCCAGAAGTTGGACGGTATGACAGCCAGTTTCCCCTCCACGTTGCCCACTCAGCTCTAACCAGGACCTGTTTTAGGGATCAGCAAGGTTGAGGCCAGCCTGAAGGATCAACTGGTCTTCATTGAGGGCACCGCGCCGCCCAGCTCCATTGTCACTGCTATCCAAGCTACGGGTCGTGATGCGATCCTGCGAGGAAGTGGCACCTCCAACAGTACGTGCTCTGCCCCCCCCCCCCCTTTTTTGTGTGTGATGTGGCAAGTCGGGTTGGATGGGATTATGCTAACTCCGGTGGTGTGATCTTTTTTTTCCTTTTGCCTCCAGGTTCCGCGGTGTGCATCCTCGAAACACATTCCACTGCCGTCTCGAACAAGATCCGCGGTCTCGCACGGATGGTTCAGGTGTCGTCCACTATGACCCTGGTGGATCTGACGATCAATGGCCTCGCCCCGGGCAAGTACGTGGCGACCGTGCGCGAAGCGGGCGATATCTCGCAAGGAGCGGCGTCAACGGGAGGCATTTGGGAGGCCGTCAAGGCCAAGGTATTGGGCTCGCCGGAGCCCGCTAAGGAACCACGTGGGGTCTTTGGGTCCGTGGAGGTTGACGAAAAGGGACGCGGCAATGTCTTTTTGGATCGACCGGTCGCGATCTGGGAGATGATTGGCCGCAGTATGGTGGTGTCAAAGAATGCCGAGGGCCCCTTTGACCGGGAGGACTCGAACACATTGGTTGGGGTCATCGCTCGTAGCGCGGGGGTGTGGGATAACGACAAGATGGTGTGTTCCTGCTCCGGCAAGAATGTTTGGCAGGAGCGGCAGGAGCAGGTCTCCCAAGGAATGGTATAGAGGGATCTGATAATGGATAATGGCGGGTTTGGCAGGATATCTGGTGTGATTTGACTACATCAGAGGGCATAAGCCGTTCTATGTATAGCACAGAGAAGAGGGGGTGGGGTCACCGTGGAATTGCTTGTGCATAGGCAATTAGTTGGATTGACCAGTATGACTACTACTATCAGAGATAGCTTGATAATTACGAGCCACATGAATGATGGATGACTCGAGTATTGCTGGGAGGCAGGAAGACGAGGAAGAAGAAGAGAAAGACACCGACAACAACCCCAGACTCAGGTGACTGGCAGCCATGCAGGAGCAACTGCACGACACACCGACTAGTCGTGGGCAAGGCATGGCAAGAACACTAAAGATAGATCGATACCTAAGTTAGTACTCATAGAGTCATAGTACAACGGTCCGACAGGGAAGGGAGTGGGAGAGGGCGATAGGGTGCGCAATGAGGCCCGTATTCCAGAGTGGGTCGATCTAACAAGTTGGAGGCAGGAATGGTCAATTCGTTCAACCGCAAGCGCCGTGGCGGGGAAATTTGCCAATGCACTGAAAGTATAATCCTCCATCCATCATCTCATCTCCAGGTTGGCAGGATGAACCATTGGCATTGGGTTCGGTGTGATTCGAGCCCAGGGCAAGAACTCCATTGTCGGTCTGCCCGTCTATCTGAATGTCCGAGTGCTTGTGTGATGGTGGATGGCTTGGTAATTGTAATTGTGACAATTCTGCAGCCCCGCATGGCTTTGTCCACCGGGAACGGGGCAGTTAACTGGAAGTAGGAGGTCATAGTAAATACCTCCGTAATCTCCTTGGAAAATCTCCTGATATGAAGGCACAACTCCAATCAGTTGGGCTCGGATGGATCGACTCTCTTCTGCTGCGATGTGATGAAAAGCGTCACCCCCTGCAGCATCCAATCCAATCCCTGGCTGGAAGAACCGATGCTGCTGGGATGTGACCAGGATCAGACCTTTTTTTACTCAATACCCACCTATTTTTATTATTTCCCCCCTCTTTCCTTCTCCCCTTCCATCCACAAACTGCATTGCACTGCACTACACTGCACCATCCTGAGTAGTTCCTGGCTGACAGGCTGCTTGCTTGCTGCATTGCTGTACTGCAATCCCTTCCCCTTCCTCTTCCCCTTCCTCTCCTTCATTTACTATTCTCTGCACGCTAATCCCAGTCTTGCCTTGATCTTCTTTCCTTCGGTCTATTTTCTCCCTTCTGCATCGGTACTCCGTCCCTGCTAACCACTTCCATTTCTGTTTTTGTCCGTCCCCGTCGGCCATCATCATCATCATCATCATCATCACCACCAGCATCAACATCAACATCATCTCTCAACCTGAAGGAGGGAAACGTGTTTGTCGTCCAGTCCAAGCTCTAACCACGCGGAAATCCAAAGCAAATCAAATCCCATCACCCACGAAACAAACTTTACTCTCCCAACCTTCTCATCCCCTACGTATCCCGCCCCAGCCAGTCTGGTCTTCCTTGCCTTCGTCTTGGCTGGTCTCTAGACGGTCATCGCTAGCGGCTGGGTCGCGGCATCCGTGATCTAATTATATATCCGATCTATCTATCTCTTGAGTTATCTATCTCTCCCGCTAAGAGACCCATTGCGCATGGTCTATTGCTTGCTCGCCGTCTGCGCTCAGTCTCCTCCGTCCCGGTTCCACCGTGTGATTCCATCCCTGTTCTCGGCGTGGTCGAGGACTCTGTCGTCAGCGTGCTGGTCCGATCAATCACAAGTCGGGGACATATATACTACGACGTGGGGTTCTCGACCGGGCAGCCCCGTCTGCGTCGTATTTTCAGGTCAGTACCAGGGCGACTGCGGCACCTGATATCGCCTATTGTTGGTGCAACGGGCTCAAGTCAGACATGTCCATCAAGCAGGTAGGTTTGCTTCACCCCTACCACAAGGGCAAGCTGAGTAGGGCTCACGTCACTCAGGAGATTGAGACCTGGGTGCAAGCCCTGAACCACTACGACAACCAAGAATACGATGAGGCCCTTCAGGTCTTCAGCGCCATCGCCGAAACATCTAAGATCCTTTTCAACTGTGGAGTCATATATGCCACCTTGGGAGAGCACGACAGAGCAGTAAGACGGTCCTTCATCCACGACAGGCCCTTATACTGACGGCAATCTAGGTCGAGTGCTACCAACGAGCAATCGGGCTAGATCAATACCTGGCCATCGCATACTTTCAAGAAGGAGTGTCCAACTTCCTGCTAGGTGACTTTGAGGAAGCCTTGGCCAATTTCAATGACACCCTGTTGTACCTTCGAGGTAACACCTCCATTGACTACGAGCAGCTGGGTCTCAAGTTCCGCCTGTACTCGTGCGAAGTGCTATTCAACCGCGGTCTGTGCTATATCTACCTGCAGCAGATGGGCCCAGGTCTCCAGGATCTCGACTATGCATCGAAAGAGAAGGTGACGCCGGACCACGATGTCATCAATGATGCAATCAAGGAACGAGCACAGGTACGTCTCCTTTGGGAGCGGAAGGAATCCAATCCTAATGGCAAACAGGGCTATACAGTCTTCTCCATTCCGGTAGGGGTGGTCTACCGGCCCAACGAGGCCAAGGTCAAGAATCTGAAGTCGAAAGACTACCTGGGTAAGGCCCGGCTGATTGCCGCGACAGGAGAGCGTAACGGCGTTCCGTCCGGCCCGCTGAATCTGGAAATCCCCCGAGCTCAGTCGGTTTTGGATCACCGTCATCCAGAGCACCTTCCGTTCGCCACCTCGCATCTGGTGCACAAGAACCTGCCCAGCCGGAGCCGTCAGCACTCTGAACCGCCCCTGAACCGTAATCTCTTCCCTCCTACTCCCCCGCCGGACGCAGACAAGGCGAGTACCAACAGCTCCACAGGAAGTCTTGGGACCACCGGTCGACCGGGGTCCATGCGCGCTGCGCCGCCCCCGCGGCTCGACCTGAACCAGGGCACCGGACACGAGACCGTCCTTAGCGAGAAGCCGCGAATCGGAACGACTCGCACGGCCTCCGAGCCTCGAAGAGCGGCAGCAGGTGCGTCGGCTCGCGCTGGCCCTCGGGAGGAACAGTCGTCTCGTGGTCGGGAAGTGCGTGGCCATCGACGAGGGGTCAGTGAGACGGGGTCTGCATCGACCTCGGGTGGGTATTCGGAGGGGGGCTACTCGGGCACGCGGTCCATGCCCGTGGGGTCCGGCTGGCCTCGGCAACGGGAACGATATATCGACGAGGAAGAAGAGTATGTCAGTGGGTCGGGCTCGGCGGAGAGCGACTTTGACCTGGTCGACGGACGATCGCCGCAGCGACAATCCCAGCGCGGGACCTCGCGAGCCCGGCGGCCCGAGGTGCGCAAGTACCGGGTCAAGACGCATGCCCACGAGGATACGCGGTATATCATGATTGAGCCGGTGATCGACTTCGCCGAGTTTGAGCGGCGGATCCGGGACAAATTCGGGTTCCGGACGTTGCTCAAGATCCGCATGCAAGACGATGGTGACATGATTACGATGGTGGACCAGGAGGATTTGGATCTGCTGATGAGCTCAGCCCGTGAGATGGCACGACGGGAGGGGAGTGAGCTCGGGAAGATGGAGGTAAGTCGTTTCTGGTGAGGTGTCGTGCACCACTGGGACTAACGTGAGGATAGATCTGGGTCGAGGAACGAGGGGTGATATGACTTAACGACTGACTGCATTGGTTGGCATTGGCGTAGCGTTCTGGTATACCCTTGTGGGCGGAGTAACATGGCTGGAATATTCACGAAGTGATGATTGTCTCTAATGAGCTAGACCAAGACCAAGAGTAATATCTACTTTACTTCTGGACCTGTCAGTGTGTAGTGTAGATGATTCCTACTTGGCCATGGTCACTTCCACTAAGTACAGTTAGAGACACTGATGACCCCTCTCGTCCTCATGCAACTGGCGCAACCGGGCGACCATTTCCTCCTTCCCCCAGCCATCCAACAGCCCCCTCCTGATCAAGTCCTGCTCACTCTCCGGGGCCATACCATTCGGCGCCGGCGGCCGACGATCCAGGTTTGTAGGGAACGGGTACCCTTCCCCAAGCGCCCGGACGAACGCCTCCCAGTTCGCATCCAGCTCCTCCCCCTCGTCCTCCTCGTCCTCCTCGTCCTCCTCCTCCTTCTTCTTCCCAGCCTCAGCATCGAACCGCCTCCTAACCTCCGGCCACACCGCCTCCACAACAGCCACAACATCCACGCTCTCCATAGTCTTGCCGACCGCCGCCCCAATCTGCAACAAATTCGCCCGTCTCTCAAACCCACTCTCCACCGCCAAACAATTCTCGCCCGCCGCATGCATCACCGCCGGATTAAAGAACACCGCATCCCCCTCCCGCAGCGGCAGGGCCACATACTCACGCTCAAAAAACGCCTTAAACTCCTCGCGCCGCCAGGCCAGATACCCGGGCTCGAAGCGCTGGCTGAACGGCAGGAAGCGCGTCGGCCCGCTGCGCTCCGGCATATCGGAGTGGGCGACGGCGCCCTGCAGCGTGAGGCAGGCGCTGGCGGCGTGCAGGCCCCGGGGGAAGCGGGCGCAGTTGCGGTCGTCCTGGAAGCCGAGGTGGTAGTCGCGGTGCGGGGCCTGGGCGTGGCCGCCCGGGCGGACGATGTTGACCTGCGCGGTGAGGCGGTATCCGGGACCGAGCCAGGTTTCGCTGACGGCGCGGAGCCACGGGTTGGAGTAGTAGGATACAAAGGAGGTGGGGTCGGCGAAGGCGTGTTTGCTGAAGCTGTTCCAGATGCGGGCGTTGTGGCCGGTGGAGAAGTGGTCGCCTTTGACGCCCGACGAAGCTTCGTGGGCGATGATGCGCGTGAAGGCGGCGGTCGTGGCGGTTAGGGTCGCTTGGTCTTGCTGGTCGTAGAAGTGTTGGAGGACGAAGATCCCCGGCCCCGCGGAGAGGATGTGGTACCATTCGTTTTGGACGGCGGCCAGGTCGGCGGCGTCGGTCAGGCTGAGCGTGCGCGTGCTGTAGATGGGGATGTTCTGGGTGATAATCGAGGCGTGCGGGTAGAGAGTGCCGTCCGTGGTTTGGGAGCAGAGGCGCTCGAAGTCCGGCAGGGATGGGGTAGGTGAGTCTAGGGAGATGAGTCGATTGAAGGGCTGCGGCGAGGCGGGGGTGGTGGTGGTGGTGGTTGAGGTAGTTTGGGTGTCGGGGTTTGTCACGCCCATGGTTGCTGGTGCTGGTGCTGGTGCTTCTTGTCTGTTTCGGAGATGGTTCTGTTGGGTGAGATGTTAAATGGTAATAGATGGGAGGTGATGAGAAGAATTCGAGGCAGCAATGAACAGAACAGCTGTATTTGTATCGTTAGGCGGAGCTGAAATCCCGAAAGTCTCCCAGAACAACAGAATCATCCAAGGTTTACTTGGATGACTTCCGAAAACCAAGCAGAATGAATAGACTGTGTGGATACGAATCCCCGGGATTGCACTGATGATCGTTATGTGTGCTGGTCTGTCTGGCTTCCCCACGTGGACGGCGGAAACCTAATCCCGAGGCAGATTTCAACAACTGGGAAGGTTACCACCGAGGTAGTTATGCATGCTCCGGGGCATTTGTCCTTCCCCAGTTGACAATCGTGTATTACAACTATACAAAGAAATCAGGCTCCAAACAGCTTCATATTCCGGCAAGACCTCTGCCCACATCCACCAGTAAAAGGCCAGCTGCGCCTCAAACCTGACATATACCAACCAATGGGTGAACATCTGCGTAGAGAGGACAACACGACAATGACCAGAATCAGTGATACCTCCTTCGCCATAAGGCTAACATGGTTCAAGGACAAAGGCAGAAAGGTATTCAAGTAGAATGGTTGGAGAAAAATTGGAAAAGAGTAAAATCGCAAGGTTGAGATCCTGCAATGGTCTCTCGCCGATAAGGTTAATATTCAAAAAAAAAAAAAAAAAAAAAAAAAAAAAAAAAAAAAAAAAAAAAAAAAGAATGCCAGCCTGCGCACAATTCTATATGTCCCGAATTTTCACCACAAGAGAACAGCCTGACAGATGAAAGATAAGGGGAGTATCGCTTCGTTGTGGTCATGTGCTTTTGGTATTATGCATTCATCATGACGACCCCAACATCAGAACTTAATGCAGAGTCAGTCGTCGCCAGTTCCTCCGTCTGGTTCGACTCGCGCAGGATCAGCTGGCTCTCCGACAGCGTCTCCACCAGCGAGCTTGGTCGTCCAGCGACAGTGAAAAGTATCTTGAGCAGAACGCTCTGCGCCTCAAGTCCCCCTTCCATGGTGGCGGTCTGGTGTCTCGTGTGTGTCAAAAGGATGCGGACCAGGGAGCGTATGTGCTCGTCAGTGGACGCATCTTGGATAGTATCCAAGCCATGGATCACACACACCATCAGGGGTGGAGCATAATAGAGGAGTATATCGATCAAGGAGAGCACTTCTTTCCACGAAGTCAGCGTGCCATTCAACGGCTTGAATCGTTCTGCACTCAGATTACACCCCGAATGGCTAATGATCACAGGAGGCAAGTATTCTATCAACTGTCGGATCAAGCTGTAGGCCAGAGCAACTAACTGTTGCTCATACGTCAACTCGTCGGTTCCGTTGGTGGACCGGGTACAGAAGTGGGAGATGACTGGCAAGCGGGCCTTTCGTGCCAGGCTGGCGTAGCACGTCGAAATGAGAAGGACGGGGCTAGGGAAAGCCGTGGTTGGCGATCCTCCCACGGCAAGCACCTGGGAATATGCATCGGTCGCCCACTGTTGCAAAGATGTCATGACATTCTCTTCTGCGATCACCTCCACATCAGGGTCCAGCTCAGGCGTCTGATCATCTGCGTCGAAGAAGTTTTCGAGGTGACTGGAAGCCAGCTGCAGCTCCGCACGCGTATACTTGTGCTTCTGGCCTCCTTCGCCCGATGTGAATCTATCCATGTCTTGCAAGGTGATATGGTCAGCATACCAAGCTGTTTGATTCTTCATGTATACCTTCGTTACCCTACCTATGTCCCTAGAAGCTGTTGTCGTTAAGCAAGCAATGCCAGTATTTTGCTGGCTCACCGGACGGATCTGGTGGCCCACGGTATCGAGCAAGTGCGCAAGTAGGGCATCTCTCTCCCTCAAGAGCCTTGCGCGCTTGACCGCATCCTGCGCAATTTCCCAGACCAGATGACGAATGAAAGCGTTCTCCGCTTTGTGGCGGCGATCCCTCCGCTGTAAACCAATCTGATCCAACCGGGCTTGTTCGAACAGACATAACTCCCTGTTGCAGGTCGTGTCGGCAATATCCTCGGTATCATTGTCGTCCTCATCGACGTCCATCATATCAGCAATTTCCCCCATTATTACTTTGGCGCTGTGCCGTAGATGGCCGACGAGATCTCGGAATGTGTGATACACGTTGTGGTTGGGACTCTTCAGCAGTCGGCATTTGGATTGGCGCACAAACCAGTCCATGAACTCGCCTAGGAAGAAGAAGAACAGTGTGTAGAAATGCGCGATCGAATGGATTGTGTCCTTTGAGCAGGACGACAGATCTGTTGTGATGGCCAGGCAAGAGGACCGGTTGATCATGACGAGTGATTTGATATATCCTTCCATAATCCTTGGATAGTTCGCAGATGCCTACGAGAAAGTCAATCACCCCAAGGAATGCAACGGGCTGCACTATAGAGATAAATTACCTTGAGCGTTGACTGAAGGACACTGTAGAAGAGAGACAAGTATGCTTCATTCTTCGGCAGGGCGCTCAAAAGGATGCTGTGGGCGTGAAGGGTGGATCTCAGCTCGGTGCAATGGTCACGGACCACTCGCTGCCTCGAGCTAGACGTCCAGACCGGCTCGATGCTGCTCACCAGACTCAAGACATCCTCTTGTCCCTGGGCGCGTTCCTGGAACTGGACAAGATCTGACGGGGTGAGAGTCTCCTGAAGCTTCTTCCAAGACAAGACGAGCTCGTTGTACTCGATATCAAGGATGGCAATCACGGGGTTTCTGATTTCAAATCAGATCAATCTAGGGAATTGAAGTTCGGGGTGGGTTGTGATCGCTGTGCTCCGCAATGGAGAGAAAGCACGGGCAGTCTCATTGATAGGGGGTATGGAGACGGTTGTAGATCACCCGAGACAAAGAAAAACAAAGTTGGGGAGGGGGGTCCACGAGCGGTCTAGACAATTAGGGAGAAAATGAGGCAGGGAAACAAATGCAGATGAAGTTTCGGCAGTAGCAAAATGGCAATTGGAAGATTGAAGGAAAAAGAACTGAGTAAGAGAACTTCAGGAAAAGACTCACGTTGATGGATGCCGCTTGTCAAAACGCTTTTTCCAGAGGGAGATTGCCTCAGCATTGGTGTCGATGGATTGAGGGGCCATGATGGGGTCCAGGCAGAGATTTGTTGTGGTAGGCGGTCGGACGAGCTCTCTCTCGTCGACTGGATCAATGGGTTCATGTCAAGGGGGGAGGAGAGTCGGGGTGTGGAAGGGGCGAAGGAAACGAGGGGGGTCAAAGGCAAAAAAAAGGTTAAACTTGATTCAAGAGCTGGTCGACCAGGCATTCAAGCGCGAGGATAAGGCGTAGAAAAGGAGGTTTGATGAAGAAGGCGGAGGAACTCTAACTGTCGGTCCCAGTTGTGTCCCTTGAGGAAGAGGTAGAAAAAGGACGGTCGTCGACTAATGGTTGATGGTCGTTGTGATTATGCCTTCATCTTGAATGAGTTGGAGTTAGCGGGTTATCCCGCTCGGGGAGGAGAACGTGAGGCAGAGAGAGAGGATGAAGAAGACAACTTGGTTTGGAAAATTGGAGGAGAAAGAAGGGAATGAAATGAGGAGAAGTAGGGAGAGAAGGGGAGGGTAAGAGAGAGAGAGAGAGAGAGATGGTGAGGGTGAGGGGACGAGCAGAGAAAAAACCATCCCCGAAGGGAGCAGGAGAAGGGAAAGAAAGGAACGAGAGGAAAACCTATTGAGGAAACTAAAAAAGTACCTCTGCAGAAGGAGGACTTTTTTAGAGACTACGATTGCCTGGTCTGATCAAATGAATCTGGTCTGACTATATTATTTTAAGTGTCTTTTAAGTCTTCCAGTATTGATATTATTATTATTATTATTATTATCAGATTTAATTCCTCCTCTCTAGTTCTGGTGCCAAATTAATTTTGATAGGCAATGGAGTTATCAATCATTTCAAGCCTCGTTTTGATCAGTGGGATCTGGCAAGTTTGGGGGATATTTATTATTGTCACTGAGAGGGAGAATGATCAAAAATTTAAATTGTTCTTAGAACATCACGGGACAGACAAAGAAACTAAGTTTACGTTGATTGTCTTGTTGATTTGCGTTGACTTGTTGACTTCTTCTACTCTGTACCTTGACTGATACCGCAGCGGGTACATAAATACTTGGGGAAGTTCCTTAGAGTCGCGCCTCTTTCTTCCGCCATTACTTCGTGGGGAGCCAGCCCCCCTTTCCACCCCGCAAGATGAAATTTGAAGTAATTATACAGCTACAACACCTACACACCTACACACCTATACATACTTATAGATACACACATACACAGAGAGACAGAGAGAGAGACAGCAAGAAAAAGAGAAACTATGTCGAGGCCGTACTTCCGACCGTGTGAGAACATCTGACCGGGGCCCCGAGCTATCATTGCTGGATTGGGCAATAGGCGCTTTGGAGTCGATGGGAGCCTCGGCCTCGTCGGCAGCGCAAAACTGACCCTCCCCCCTTCCAGCAGGGAAAGAGGGAAAAAAAAAAAAGAGCTGGCACGCCTCCCTGGCTCCTTTGAACCAATAACGCGCCACCCGCGTGTTCGAGGCCTCCAGCAGGGGTAGCAGAAGCGGAAATGCGCTGGAGGATGGATGGATTACTATTCCAGGCCCTGGCTGGAGGGCCTACCCTCCTCTGAGCGTCGTCGTTGGCTCCTAATTTGGGTCCCACCTAGGATGGCGCGCGCCCTGGCCCTTTCTTCTTCGCCGTTTGTGTCTTAGGGGGGAAAGGTTAGGTGGTGATCTTACTGTAGTCCGATCATGAGGATGAGAGGCATTGGATCAGTAATAAATCCACAGAGTTTAAAGGGTAACTCCATCCAAGCACTGCTACTGCCACTGCTACCGAGTCATTCCCGGGGAGGCCAACTGCCTGGATGAGTGAGCTGTATATAGACCAACGCCGGTCGTATGCATGCATGGATCAAACATTTTCGGATTGACTCCCCCTATGGAAGGAAGGAGCAGAGCACCTCCAGGCACTCGCAGCACACAGGGAGCGAGAAATAATCGGTTCGAAATGAGCTTAATTTATTTTGATTGACCTGGGTTAATTTTGCCTAAATCTGTCCTCCTATCCACCATCGCCAGTCAATTACCATCGAGACCTTCAGAACAACAGTCATCTGTGTTTGGTCGCCCGTCTGACACTGTCACCAGAGGGAATCTTCAGGTCACCCTTTATTGAAGGAATCAGAGACCATTCTGGTCCTTCTCCCGAGCGAGCATGCTGATAATCAACCACCGCTTGGGGTATTGGTAGGGTACAAGCGGCAGGATCTCCACCATTCCGTGAACCACTTTTGAGTTACGAACTGATACGAGCATGGAGTACTCCGTACTGGTGCTGGGCAATCATTCACAGTGTGTATCACTGGAGGCAAGACTAGTATCTCGTAGTCACCGCCGCCTATCAACCAGCTTACCGGTACTCATTGATACATATGTAGGGACGGTCGATCTCTGTGGGATACTCCATTCAAACTAGAAGGGGGAAAAACAAATTCATGAGGCGAAAACAAATGAACAAGAGGGGATTGGTGGTGTTGCATCCCGGCGACCCGACCGCCAAAAAAAAAATAAAGAAATATCGAGTTCCCAGCAACTCGGGTCACTCATGACATGGAAACTAACTGTGTTGTTCGAAGAATAAGATTATAGTAATTGTTATCATTAGTCCCGCCCGGGAATCAATCGAATCCAAGTCACTAATATAGATGATTGGAACGAGGTAGGGAGAGAGGGGGGGGGAAACCGACAGCAAGGGGAGGGGGTCAGTCAGCAAGAAGGAGAGAGGGAGATCGAGAGAGTACAGACACAGGTCGGGACGGAACACACGGACCAAGCGTTGCTGTCACGGGCCCACGCCGCGGTGAAGGTCGAGACCCGGCTCCATCCACCAATCCAAATTGCTCTTTCCCCCTCTTCTTCTTCTTCTTCTTCTTCTTCTTCGTCTTCTTCTTCTACCTCCACTCCAGCATCACCACAACCTCCACCTTCTCCTCCATCACCCATTTTACCTAGACCAGGATAGATGGCATACCACCAGTTGATCACGGCTTTAGTCGGTAATACGGCAGTACAGCATCATCCTCTTCGACTGCCGTCCCCGATAATATCTACTCCATGAATAAGCGCGGTCGAAAGTCATCCCTATACTGCGTACCTTATGTTGCGACCGGGCTCAATCGCCTTGTCGCCGCACGTCTCCTTCTCTTTCTTCCCCCCTTCCCCCCTTATATGTGCAGCCGAATATAGTATATCTGTCGGTGCGCATAGTTACCTTTTGGGGCTGGTGTATGTGCTTACTTGGGTAGTCCAGCCCGCCGAGCAGACAATTTGCTAGGATACACAAAGTACGGGAGTACTGTATCATCGATGTCGGCAGTCGGTAGCCATCACTAGAGTAGTCACTATGGCAAATCTGGGGGGAGCATGGGTGTGATACAACATTCTCTAGCGAGGAGGCACAACAGATTCGGCTCGATCAGCTTTCTCACTGCCTAAGTGGCCCTGTCTGATTGGAACTTTCCCCTGAGCATCCTCGACCTGTCAGTTTCGTGTGCGCATGCAGAGTGGCTGGATCTTCCTGGACACATTCCACCCGTTGCCCTGTTGGGCCGTGCATGGGTAGTGTCAACATAGACCGTGGGTGTAACTACCTATAAGTTATATACGGATGCCTCTTTCAGATGTACTCCGGCTGGCGTAGGTAAATTAGGTGGGCTTCTCATGGCTGAACTCATATGCAGTAAAAGAGAACGCCCCCCCCCCCTCCACCCGGATATAAGTATTGGGTTGGAACCCTCCACATTTATTGGAGAGCCCGCTGATCATCCCAACAGATGAATTGGGAAACTTGATGAAACTTCATATCAGGGCGCAACTCATGTATGCACTCGATATATCACACGAGGGCTAACCATAGTGTCTTCTCCAAGCAGACAAGCGACTTATCTACAGGCCCTTCGCAGATTCCGTCGGAGCAGTCAGTCACTCACCACCCCCTATCGTCCTTTCACTTGTCTTGATCGTCCCGGGACCACCTTGACAATATGCAACCAGGATGTCAAAGCTTAGTCTTCGGGTGAACATGGATGTCAGCTGCAAAGCATCTTACAGGTGGTAGCACACATCACACAGTGGTCTGCGTCGCACCGTAGCATTGAAAAGCAAATCAGTGGCAAGTGCAGAGAGGGCTGCGATCCAGCCAGCTAGCCAGCCAGACAGCCCAGCCAGCGGCGCGTCTCCAAGTTAGCCAGCTGCGTCCTGAATCATGAAGGGCCTATCGGGGCATTGGGGGTCGTGACCTTCAGCACCGTGTGCGAAAGTACAGTACCGATGGTCTGGGAGTCAAACGACACGCATAGACTGTGTAGGTATCTCGCCTCTTTTCCCATAGGTACGATAGGCGGGTAGGCATGTGCCCTGTGCCCTGTCAGTATATCCCAGCTGGGTATGGTTCCGCAGGGGGGGAGGGGAGGGGAGAAGCTCACTTCGTCAATTAATGCAGCCAGTGCACCATCGCATCGGATTGAGAAATCCCCGAGACGTTGCAGTCAAGTGGCAATCACCCCCACTGGCACTTTTTCATCTCTATTCCCTTAGACTATACACCACACAAGTTGCACATCCCTGCTCGAGACCCTCACTAGTCCCGGGCAATGCCGTTTTTCTTCGCTTTTTCCTTACCTCGGAGTAGCTTGCGATGCACTTTGCGTGCGCGCGGGATCCGGAGTACTTTGGTGTGTGTAGGGATTGAGGCGGGTGAATTAGTCTTGTCTGTTATAGCCACCGTTGTTCATATCCCTAGCATTCACTGGACATGAAGTTGCAGTACCTGATCCACGCCAGGACAACATAGGTAGGACCATTGATGCTTCGATCCGGCCCTAGCCTCGATTAGCTAAACTTCGGGTTTGTCGGGGGGTGCGGCACTGATATCCATATTACCTTGACCCGATGCTAATGTTGCTAATGCAGTATATTAGGAAAAGGGGGCGCCGCGGCTTGAGGGTTCCTTTGCAGTTTGCAAGCTAGATGAGCAATACGGTAAGACGACTATTTATCTCTGTCATTAGGGCCGAGAGTCGTAGGTCGTAGTTGATGACCGAGGGTATTCTTTCCCACAAACTCCCTCTCCGCTGGATAAGCTACAGACCACAGTACAAAGCCTCCCGGTCTGTTTCGGGTGTCAGATCGGACTATGACTAACTAGTACGGAGGTTTTAGGGAGTTGCACAAAACCAACACAGCATAATCGGAGTTGACTTTTATGTACATTACGTGCAACCTTCCCTCACTGGCCTTCAGCCGTTCCCAGTCTGGCCTGGCCTCACTCTCTTTTCTCCACAACAGGATGATAAGCACGCTCCGATTTCGGAGTTTTGGGGTGTTATGTCTCGGTGCTGTGCTCGACAGGAAGGGGGGTTGGACGGGCACGCCCTCTCCACATGGAAGGATGGATGTAAAGGGCACGGAGATTCACCGGAGATGCACTGATGCATGAGCGAGAAAAAAGAACATGACAGTCACGCGTCGCAGCAGACCTTCCTCAATAGGGTGCCCGCTGTTATGGACCATAACCGGGCTTACTGGTGTTGATTAAGGCAATCTTCGCGAAGGGGGGGAAGGGGTCTTAGTCAGCCACCTCAATAACTAAGTCTCGAAAGAAAAACCTGCCTGGGGGGGGTTCTCTAGAGTTTTAGATTGAGGGAAAGAGTGTAGATGTAACCAGCCCATCGATTCATCGGAGCCAATAATGAATTGATCTGCCTATGCAGGTCAGAGAATTGGTTGTTAAAGGAAGGAAACAATAATCCATTCTGGCTGGATGACGCGAGACCACGTTGGAAAATACGGGGTTGGGGGGAAAAGGGAAGAGCAAAAAGGGAAATTGGGCGAAAGCCAGGTAAAACCGAAACAGAAAGCAAACAATCCTTCCGGGGCCCATGCGCCCGGTGAGTGTTGTCGAGTTGATTGTGGTAGAGCTGTGTAGGTCTGTCCCAAGTACGTGTCGCTTTGTGCTACGGATTCGATGCTGGGTGAGATGAATAGAAGAACAGACTTCCTTAAGGATGATGCAATGCGGTCAGGTGTCTTGTGCCTTATAATGATTTGTAAGTATAAAGGCTTTTCGTGGTCGAAGATTTTCGGTAGGGCCATCCAGAACAGACATTGCTAAAGTCTATCTGGCCTTTGATAGAATTCATCGTTATCCAGCCCGCCTCACTTGCATTATCCGGATTGATGATACCGGTAGTTTATCACGGATAATTGGTTGGTGGGAGGGGCTTTTAGGGTCCATCCACAGCTAAAAATTGAGGGAGGAAGAAGCTCAGAACCTCAGAAAGCAAGTGGAAAAGAGAAGAGAGGATCGGCGGGCGAGCCAAGCCCTGCCATCCCCGCACACCCCCAGTGCCCAGTGCACTCTTTTCGTACTCTTATTGCTTTTTTGCTTTTGCTCTTGCTTTTGCTTTTGCTTTCGTTTTACATGTCCGATCGATTGAAAGGGGCCACCCAGCAATTGTAATGCATTTGGCAAAGTGATGGTGATTTTGAACTCATAGGACCACAATGGCCGATGAAAGGAAAATCAATTGCTCTAGGCCTGGACTGAAACAATCTCGACTGAGAGCCAGCAGTCAGTCAATCTTGCTTATCTTATCCCGGCTTGCGGGTCCACTTTCAACCATCACGGCACGGACAGATGCCTCCAGCAATCAGATCGTTTCTGATATTGCCCTGCCTCTTTTTTCTCGGGGTGAGTAATCTATCGCTCATCCGTCCATCATCCGTCCATCCATCCATCGACTTCAGGCCTGCCGTAATGGTCGAGCCGATCCATGGCACTGGCGCTTGCGCGGCTCAGTCACTGGACAACCAAGTCTTTGGTTCGTATCACGATGATTCATCATCCGCAGATTTATGGGGCGATGCAGCGGACAGATCAGACTGATGGCGGATGATGCTGTTGGTTCTTAAAGGCAGTAAACGACTTTCTCTATGACATGCGTATTGATTATTGTCAGCCTGACTGACTTGATTGACAACCGACTGACTGACGAACAACCCACCGGAAGTGTTCGGCTGGTGGTTGATCCAGGTTGAAAGTTGTCCGGTGCAGACAGACTAAAGTGATAGTAATCCAATCGCAGTCCCAGCCTGCCTTCCCGCCGCCCTCCCAGTCCCATCCGTCGGTTCCAGCATCTACCATCGACTGGGCACTGCATCACCCATCAGCTACTAAACTAGTCAATTCAAACCTACTGATACTTGGACTAGTACGGAGTACTCTCAACTCACTTGCCTTATTGTTCCCACTTCAGGCCCGCAACATCCATTCCATTATTACTATTCTCATCACTTCTTACCTCC